AGGATGTGCATTGACTATAGGGGCCTCAATGCCATCACCGTTAAGAACGCGGAGCCCCTACCCCGCATTGACGACCTCTTGGATAGAGTGCATGGATGTCAGTACTTCACAAAGATAGATCTGAAGTCCGGATACGAGGACCAACGCAAAACCGCATTTCAGACCAGGTACGGTCTGTACGAGTTTGTGGTGATGCCTTTTGGCCTATGCAATGCGCCTGGTACGTTCCAGCACGCGATGAATAGGATCTTTCATGACTACTTGGACAAGTTTATCGTCGTGTACCTCAACGATATTCTCATCTTTAGTAGGACTGTAGAGGAGCACGCTGAGCACTTGAAAACAGTGCGAGGCCTCCTAAGACAACACCAGTACAAGGTAAACTTGGATAAATGCGAGTTTGGTCGCACCAAGATCTTGTACTTGGGTCATGAAATTTCAGCAGATGGATTGAGGCCGGAAGATGCGAAAGTGGTCAGCATACGTGACTGGCCCAGACCTCAAACTGTTACTGAGGTCAGATCGTTTTGGGGGATGATGGGCTATTATCGTCCGTTTGTGAAGAACTATAGTACTATAGCTTCCCCATTAACAGATCTAACTCGACTTGACACCCCTTGGGAGTGGACTGAAGAGTGTGAAGCAAGCTTCAAGAAATTGAAGTATGATCTGACGCACTACGAAGTCCTCAAACTTCCTGATCCTGACAAGCCGTTTGTTGTGACCACAGACGCCAACCAATATGGCATAGGCACGATCCTTGCGCAACAGGAAGGGCCCAAGTTGTGACCGATCGAGTATATGAGCAAGAAGATGCCATCTCAGAAGTTGGCTAAGTCCGCTTATGAGAGAGACCTCTAGTTCATTGGAGACACTACCTCCTGGGAAGGTTCTTCTATGTGAGATCTGACCATGAGACCTTGCGCTGGATCAAGACACAACCAGTCTTGTCGGACGCACTCAAGAGATGGATTCAAGTGATAGACATGTATGACTATCAACTTGATCCTATCAAGGGTACGTACAACAAAGTGGCTGATGCGCTATCAAGAAGGGCAAATTATCTGGGCGCGCTAGTAACAGAGTTTGGCATATCTAATGACCTCACTCGATCGTTGGTGGAAGCCTATCAGGGAGACCCAGTCATGTCAGAGATCATTCGTAGATTCAAGGCAAAGGATAAGAAGACTTTGGACGAATTTACGATGGTAGACGACTTACTGTTCCTTGATAAGGCAGGGAATAAAAGACTATGTGTTGCTAATAGCGAGTCTTTGCATAGTTTATTCTTAGGAGAATGTCACGATGCAACTGGTCATTTTGGTTATAGAAAGACATCAGCAAACTTAGTGCAAAGATTTTGGTGGCCTTCTATGTTAGCAGATGCGAAATGTTATGTGGAAACCTGCCAGGTTTGTCAAAGAGATAAACCAAGGACTCAGGCTCCGCTTGGGTTAATCAAACCCTTGCCGATCCCTGAAGGACCAGGTCAGAGTGTGTCCATGGATTTTATGGATACTCTTGTGACCAGCAGGACAGGGAAGAGACACATCTTTGTCATAGTGGACCGTTTTACCAAGTACGCTAGACTAATCGCTATGCCTAAAACTGCTAAAACTGACCTCGTCATCAAACTATTTATGGATAATTGGGTAAGGGACTTCGGTCTACCTACATCTATTATTAGTGATAGGGATGTAAGATTTACAAGTGAGTTGTGGCAGTCCGCTGCTGAGCAAATCGGCACAAAACTCCAAATGACGTCAGGGAATCACCCTGAGTCGAATGGCCAGGCAGAACAGATGAACCGGGTAGTGCAGCACCTGCTTAGGCATTATATAAAGCCAAGTCAGGATAACTGGGACGAGAAGTTACCTCTCATCGCCAGCCTGTACAACAATGTTGTGCACAGCACCACCGGTATGACTCCCAACCAGTTACATCTTGGTTGGAAGCCCAGATCTGCGCTTGACTTTCTGTTACCAGAAAGACAACCCACTGCAGCACCTGGCAGCATAGAGTTTGCTGTCAAGTATGAACAGATGCTGCAGCACGCCGTAGAACACATTCAGAAGTCTCAAGATGCTATGATTGCATCTGAGAACAAACATAGACGGCCTTCTAACTTTCAGGTAGGTGAGAGAGTCTAGGTAAAATAATCTGAACTGGGACAAGAGATAGGGATCTCAAGAAAGCTGATGCCTCAGTACTTCGGGCCCTGGGAGATCTTAGATATTGTAGGCGATCAACCTGATGGGCCTTCATACGTGATTCGCATCCCTGCACACCTACGGACTTATCTTATTATCCATGCCTCCAAGCTGGCACCTTTTGCTGCCACAGATCTGTTTCCCTCTCGGAGATCTATGCTGCCCCCAACCATGGATGGTGAAGTGGACATTTTCCTCGACCATCAGGCAGAGGGCGACCTCCTAAACCAAGATTGCAGTATCGGGTGAGTTTCATACATCACCTCGATCCCAAGGAAGAACGCTGGTTCACACGAGAAGAACTCATGAGAACAGCACCTCAAGTGATTGCAGGCTATGAAAGAGAAAGGAAAGGGAAGATGCCTGCAGAATAAGAAGACTTCTCAAGGGACTCATGAAGTTGAGGAGGAGGGAATGCGAGGATCAGGGTCCTCAGTAGGCCTATGGGGGCCCTGTCTGCAGCCTTACCCGCCCTAAGTGAAGGCGGAGGTGCCCGCCCTAAGTGAAGGCGGAGGTGCCCGCCCTAAGTG